CTTTCCTCCTTAAACTAACCTCTGTGAAGGGCAGTCTTATATAGCAAATGACTTTAAACTATCCCCAGTAACTGGACACAGGTAGCTGAATTTGTGTTGAGTACTTAATCAAGACCAGACTGACTCAAGTAGATCCACTCCTTAAATGGTTTGAACCAAGAGATACAGCTCTATTCAGATAATGATGATCATTTAAAACTAAAGACCAAGGCCAAGGCCATAATTTTCCCTCCATGTACATTTGAAGAGGTAAAAAGATACCTAGCTTGCAGAAAGAGGCAGAATTGAAAAAAGAAAAAAGTAATAAAACCTCACAGAGAAAAGTAAAGATGAAAGATCACAGGGCTTTGAGAGAAAAAATATGGAAAAGTGGTGACTTTCATGTGAGACGTTGCTTTATTTCCTGGTTTGCTTCTCTGTAAGATTCCCTTAGGTTTTCAAAAAAATTCTTTTTATTTAAGTTAGTTCAAGAAAGTTTACAGTGCAAGTAAACCTGGGATTAATATTATTAGAGTTGACTGGAAAAAGGGGAAGCACAACAGGGGAAAGATAAATTGAAAATTTCCTTTATCCCATGCCTACCCCATTTCTGACAGAGGAAGGAAAATGTAGGTCTCTGATCCAAAGCAGTACTGTTTGCAGAAATCTTTGGAATGGATCTCTGAAAATGCCAAGTATCTCTTTCTATGCCTGGGACTTATTACTACAATTCAGGGTGGTCACCAGTAGGGAGTGATATTGAGCAATTATAAGTGGAGACCAGTGATTAAGTCTTCTTTTATTTAATAATTTTCTTAAGTGAAAAAATAGTCATAAGCCAGAAAGTTTCATTTTTAGAAAAATAAAAAATATTATTGACTATCACAAAATTTCCTAAAAAAACAAGAAAAYTGATGTGAAGATTTAAAGAAATTACAGTTCACACAAAGACACAGGTGTTCCTGTACCTCACAAATATATTTTTTTATTTGCTCTTAACTTGGTTGTATTCCCTACTTACTTTATCTTCAGATACTATTGTCTCAAATATTTGAAAGTAGCAAATATTTTTAATCAGCCATATTTTAGCCTACATACTTATCTAATCATCAGAAGGACTTTTAATTAGCTGTGGATCTAGGCACATTAGACTAGCTGACTTCATTTATTATACCTATTCAAGACTAGCCATTCCAACCACTAGAAGTCTTTTCTTTTTCTTTCTTCTCTAATTTTCCCTATGAAAATATATCTGGAAGAGAAATTTTAAATATAAAATTGCTCCCTTTGTAGCTATTGTTGAAAAGAGGGAATTTTCCCTTTCCATAATTTGAGGTTAAAGGATTTCATTGCTAGCCTTTCCTACTTTACCAATGTAAAAATATAGAGAAAAATTTTAATTGATTAATAACCTTAAATGAGAATTTCTTTGCAGGGTTCTGTTAGCTTTTTTTTAGCATTGCTGTAAAAATCTCACTATGATACTCAACTCTGCCTGAAAATAGTATCATATGGAAGCTTTCAAAAAATACTGATGCCTGGACCACACCTGAAGATGTTCCAGTGAGTGCTTAACAACCTGCTTAGGAATGGAGGTTATATGTTTATATAAAAACATATAACACATAAATTGCAAATAATAACACAACACATAATACTCTTATTGTAAATTCCACATAGCTAACAGATTCTCACAGAATGCTTTCATTGATTTTTGCCAAGTCTGTGTACACAGCCAAACTATGGTTGAAATTGAGAAACAAGTGCAGTTCTGATCTGAATGTTGATTGATATTTTCATCCATGTTAATAAGACAGAACTAAAACAAGAAAGATGTATGTAGGACTTTCTTTGTTAATTAATTATTTAAGCAGTATTTTTTCTATTTTCTATTCAGATAATAGTTTTTATATGCTGGAAGAATACTGCAATTTTTTGTGCTATTAACAATGTAACAGATACAAAAAATTTTCACTTTTAAATTAAGAAATTGCATTATGAACTTTTTCTATCATATAACTACATCTAAACCAGAGGTAAAATTTTTCTGTAAAGGATCGAGTAGTAAATATTTTAGTGTTTTCAAGTTAGATGGTCTCTGCCTAACCACTCAACTCTGCTATTGTTCTGTGAAAGCAGCCATAGACAAAGCACAAATCAGTGGGCATGGCTGTGTTCCAGTAAAAACTTCTTAAAAAAAAAAAAAAAAAAACAGGCATCTTAGGTCCACGGCTTGGCCTAGACAATCAACAAAACTTTAAAGCAAGCCCTTTTTTTAGCATTTGCCAATTTCTGTTATATTCTTATTGTGGCCAATTTCAAGTTACAAGTCAGCCCTGAAAATAAATTTGGAAAGAAATGCACAGTATCACTTTGTTATATACTGTTTTCACTAAACAAACATAATAAACATTAATAACTTCAAAAGAATAGGTAGGTAATGGTAAAATGTAATAAAATGATTGGAAAGTGAAAGGTATTTATTACCTTTATTTTTAAGTTTATACAAGATTTTAATAATGGCTATATTTAACAACTGGCTCATAACATCTCAGAATTTAACAATCAGTGTTCGCAAACCAGAGGAAGTCAATCTTAGCACACGAAACCAATTAACTCCAAATCTCTAGGATTCAGGACATTGGTGCTTTTGCTTTTTTGTTTATTGGTACTAGGGATTGAACCCAGTGACACTCTACCACTGAGTTACATCCCCAGCCATTATAAATTTTTATTTTGAAACAAAGTCTCACTAAGTTGCTAAGGCTGGCCTCAAACTTGTGATCCTCCTGGAGTCACTGGGATTACAGATGTGTGCTACCATGACCAGCAGAGACATTGGTATTTTTTAAAAGGTCTCCAGATGATTCAAATATGCATCCAGGAATGAAAACCACTGCTGTAAGGCCTGAGAGTGGGGCTGATGTCCAGTTTGGGAGTTGAAAGAGAAATTTATTCTCTGACAGAAACTGGATGTTTCAAAGGGTAGCAAGGATAGAGAAGGCAGAAGCTAACGTTGCTGATTACCTTACTGGGCAATAATCATAAAGCAGGAGAATTCCTGAGCCTGAAGAGAGGGAATTCTGGAGATAAGACTAGCATAATGAACCATTTCAGAGTGCCAGATGCAAAATTTTCAGTGCTAAAACCAGAGAAGTGTCCGGACAAAGCACTAGAAGCCTTGGATTTTAACCAATTTTTATTTAAATAGCCACATATACTTAGTGACTTTTGTATTAGATAGTGGGGTAGGTACATACAATTACAACATGACTCCTTTGCAAGTATAAACTTTCTATTTATTTGCTGGTATAAAAAACAATTTTGAAGCCTTCTAATAGAGGAACACATGAAAGTAACAATTCAGATTCTAAACTGAAATATTTGCTATCAGGCTAATGTGCTAATGTGAATAAGTGATAGAAATTCTTTAGAAATAATCAGTGAATTTGTGAGTGGGAGAAAAAAGAATTTTCCAGGTCATACTATAGTTAATATGATAGTTGCTGATACAAATGGGTGGGAATGAATGGCATTAAAACAACTGCACTCTATCAYCTAGTTTTTCTCAGAACATTTGCAAAATGGCAGGATGGGGCTGTCAGGTCAAAAACTTGAAAAGAACAATGTTACTGAACTATAAGAATCCTTGACCTAGACGTCTTTTTTTCTTTTTTAGTATGGGGATTGAACTCAGGAGTGCTTAACCATTGAGCCACATCCTCAGCCCTTTATATTTATTTTAATTTTGAGACAGGGTCTTGCTAAGTTGCTTAGGGCTTTGCTAAATTGTTGAGGCTGGCTTTGAACTTGTGATTCTCCTGCCTCAGTTTCCCATGATCTTAAGTAATCCACTTGCTGGGATAACAAGTGTGCGCCACCATGCCCAACCTGACCTCTATGTCTTGAGCAACACTTCCTAATCCCTTACCTGCCTACTGAACTGTGAGAAATAAATTATCATGTTTAATGTTGAATTTTATTTCCCCCAAAGTCAATTTTTAATGGTAACATTCTCATTCAAACTGCACACATGGAAATATCATCCTAAGAAAAAAATTAAGAACAGAAAACATGAAGTTTATAATGTTATTTATAGAATAAAACTGGATAATAAGAGGAATTATATAAATGAAGGATAATAAAATTATAATTAACTTTGAAAATTATTGCATCCCTCTAAAAATAATCAAAAGGAAATGAAGAGTTACAATAATGCTATGCTTTAGATGGAAAAGGGTCATACTTTCAGTAATTCAAATTTTAATAATTATATGCTTTTAAAATATAAGGTGTAAAGTTATAGAACTAGATTAACTTGACAGAGTTAACATAGCAAGGATATTCTATAATGCAAACAAAAGTGTTAACATTCCCTAAGCTTTAAGCACCTAAATCACTTCAACCAAGTATATTGTTCTTTTTCCACTCTAAAACTGCAATAGAAGAGTAGTCTAGGACATTTAGCCATCTTGTCCTGACAAATAACCAATTCACCTTTTTTCCCAGTATATTCTTAAGTATTGATTTTACCAAGTGAACTCAGACATGTGTCACACTTATCCAATACAGATCCTTTTCCTTGGAAATGTAGTTTGAACATCAATCAGTCACCTGGCCTTTCACCTCCAATTCCTGTTGCCACTGTCTGTCAACTATTAAAGCCTGGCCATTTCTACAAATGTTATTTTTAGAAACTGAAATACATAGTGACTCCTATGAAAAATATGTTTCTTGGAAAAGCATATAAATGTTCAGCTGATTAAATTTCTTAATTAAAATTATTGGTTTGAAAACTTGTTTATAAATCCATATTTCAAAGATTAGTAGGTATTTACTTTTAAAACCTATTTCCTGAATAGCAATATTACCATTGTAATATTGTAATATTACCTCCAGTGTAGAGGACAACAAGATAAAAGGAAATTCTAGCTGAGTGGCAATGTTACAAGGGTCTTCAAATGCAGAAGAGAGTTTTTGTCTCCGCCTGAATCCAATGAGAGTCATAGAATAACACCCACCTTGAGCTGCAGGCCTCCTGGGACTAGAGTGTTTGCTGGAAGGCTTTTAATGTGTTGGTAGACATAAGAGGAGAATTGCTCCTGCTCAGCCTGTAATTGGGGGCCAAGTTTAGAGAGATGACCTCTGTTGCTTTTGATAGCTGTCTGCAATTCATCAATCAGCCTGCTTACCTGAAGGGGTTAAATTACAAGAGTTGTTAGCAAGAAGTAATTGTTGATGTCACACCTATTAGATTTTTGAGTATCCAGCATGATGGGGGAAAATGACTTCAATACAAGAATTTGAGTACAGATATAGCCTTGAGTAAAGATTAGAGATATACATACATTCCTTCATCAACAAATTTCATTTATGAAAAATGTCTAACCTTTTTACTTCAGTAATATGGAATAGGTGGCCATTGACAATTACTAAATGAAAAATATATCTGGGTATAAAAAGGAACATACACATCTGACAAGTTTACAAAGGACTTTTAAACTGCTTATTACAATAAAAACTTCCTAGGACTTGAATCCAATGTACATAAACTACTATCACATTTTGTTTTCCTATATGTACCTTTTTAGAATATTTTATTTCAACAAGTTACATTGAAATTTTTAATACATATATTAAATTCACTAAGATTTGTTTGACCTTTAAAATAAATAAGGGCGCTCTGGCCCTCACTAGTAATCCCAACAACCTGGGAAGCTGAGGCAGGAGCGTGGAGAGTTCAAAGCAAGCCTCAGCAAAAGTGAGGTACAAGCACTTCAGTGAGACCCTGTCCCTAAATAAAATACAAAATAGGGTTGAGGATATGTCTCAGTGGTCAAGTGCCCCTGAGTCAATCCCCAGTACCCCCCGAAAATAATAAATAAGTAAATAACTGTTATCTTCTTCCAAATATTCTAGAATACAATTTTTCCAAATTTCATAAATGTAATTTTCCAAAATATCCATACTTTAAAGACAATGCTCTGTTCTAGACACCATTTTAAATATATATATATATCAATGACAAAATAAAAGCATAGAATTTTTCCAGAAACAAAATAGACTTATGAACACATACCTGGGATTTAAAAAAAAAAATTTGGACTTCTAATCAGTGTATTTTAGGATGGGCATATGAAATTTACTTATGGATTATTAATAAAACATGGTGAGGAGTCAGCAAACTACTGTTTTATAGTTTACAAATTAAAAATCACTGCCATTTCTTTGACTTTCATTGTTCATATAAACTTATATTCTATATAATTCTAAAGACTGAATTCTTTTTTATTGCTTCACAGGCTTTATTATTAAAGGAAATTCATGTTAGATATTCAGCTGTATGGCATAAAATCATTTAATGTCTCCAAATCATTAATAAAAGAATACTAAATGACATAGGATAATGGGTAATCGACTTGATTTTTATTGGTCAATACACGGTCATAATCAAAAGAGATGAAGAACAGAAATCCACTTTATCAGCAATTCTTTAAAGTGATCAACTTTGAAAGCTTGCATTAAAATTCTGGCTCTCCCACATACTGACTAGGAGACTTTGAACAAGGAATAAAACCCTCATGCATAAATAAATGAAGAATAATATTGGTCTAACATACTGAGAATTAATTTGATAAAAGAATAGACAGCATGCTGTCTAGCCTAAAGCAGGTAGGTGCCCAGTGCATCGGTATATTATTATAGTGTTTTGTTTTTTAAATCTGTGTTTTCTGCATATCGAGTTTTAATTATATTTTTCTTGGTCCATCATTCCTATTCTTACCTTTATTTCATATGAGGCAGATAGAAATTCTCAACTATCTGCTGTATAGATTTTATACCTCATTTCAACATCCACAAACAAAATGAAAACTCCTCTAAGATTCTTTCATGTCCTGACACCTCATCCTCCTTCTTTCTCTCTCAGCTAAAAATATGGTATTTGAATTTGCTGAAATTTGCTAAAGAACAAGCTTATATTCTTAATTATGTGGCTTAAATATTTATTTTTCACTTTCCCCTAATGATGTTTGTGAGTGTGTGTGTGCACACATATATTTGGTAAAAACTAAACATAGTTGAAGTTTTTATACATGTAAAACTTTGATTACATTTGAATTTTTTTTTTTTTTGTATCAGGGATTGAGCTCAGGGGCACTCGACCACTGAGTCACATCCTCAGCCCAATTTTGTATTTTATTTAGGGACAGGTCTCACTAAGTTGGTTAGTGCCTAACTAGTTACTGAGGCTGGCTTTGAACTCGCGATTCTCCTGCCTCAGCCTTCTGAGCCGCTGGGATTAGAGTCATGTGCCACCACACCCAGTTTCATTTGACTTTTACCAAGAACTTTACAAGTATCAGATGCATGTAAACAACTTACTTCAATATAATTCCTATTTATCTTTGGTCTCCCGTAACTCTTGTTTGTTCCTATGTGATCAATCTTCTACCTTCCTTTAAACAATCCTTTCTTCTAAACAAAGGGTTGGCAGATATTTTCAATAATAGGCTAGTTTGTAAATATTTTTGGCCTTATGGGTCATAATGTTTCTGTCAAAGAATTTAACCCCACAGTTGTAGTTGTAAGGCAGTCACAGATCATATGCAAAGGAATGGGCATGAATGTGATCAAATAAAACTTTATTTATAAAAATAAACAACGGACTGAATTTGGCCCTCATCTAAATATAAATTTTCTATCCTTCCTTTCCTTTTTTATAAGTAATACTTTGGTCCAAGTCATCATTTATTTCCTCATCCCTATCCCAATGTGGATTACCAAAATACCTAGTGACTGGATTCCCAGTCCCTAGACTCTCCCCTGTCATCCATCCTGCCACCTTCACAGAATTAATCCAAACTGAACAGTAAACGAAACCCTCTAGTGACTCTCTGAGATTTTATAGCTTGATATTCAAGATTCAAGACCTTTTATAATCTGATCCCTACCTGGCTTTATGGCTCATATTCCCACTAGACCCTTCCTCTCTAACAAGATGTCCCTTCCCAATGTTCCCATTCCCCACCACACACACATATACAGATTCCTTCTATTTCTCAAGTGTCATAATAAATTAGAAAATATTTATTTATCTATTATGATCAACACTCTTATCTAATAAACAAGGAAAATCAGGTCCAGAAAAGTAAACAGACATATAACTGACAGCAATGACCCAAAGTGACTTGCTTTGGCCAATGAAATGTGAGCAAAATGAACGTATACCACTTCTCAACAGAAGCTTTACAAGTTATCAGTTCTAGCATTGCTCTTTTGCTCTGCCATGAAAACAGCAATGTCCCAATAGAAACTGTTCCTTCAACCTCTATCCCATACTGAAAAAGACATACGGGAGAGAGACAAACAACCTGTAGCCAACATAATATTTTGTTTTAAGTAACTAAGATTTGGGGCTTGTTAACCAATGCAGCATAATCTAGCAAAACCTGATTGATACACTGATTTCTGCTAAGTCTTTGCAACCCTATATAACTTATCTAATAGGATACTAATAGGCAGCCCTTAAGGGTACATAGAATGTGTACAGCAATTTCTATTAGTCATTCATACAGAAGCCCTTCCTTCATGGTCAATCAGTTAACTTGGAACAAAACTTTGGAAATCATGGGCATGTAAGGTAGTAGAAAGTATATGTTATGTGTGTATGCGGGGTCATAAGAGACATAGGAAGAAAAATAATATGAAAAAGAAAGAAGACAAGAAGAGAAATTAAAAGGAGATGGAGATGGAGGAAATGAGCAGGGAAGAAAGAGAAGAAAAAATGTTAAAAGAGACAATATTATTCATATATTATATACATGTATAATATTGTCACAATGAAACCCATTATTCTGGTATAATAAGTATGCACTTATAATTAAAATGGAATAGAAGCAGCAGATCCAAACAGCAGATCTATTAAATTAAAGAAAGCTGTGGGAAAACAAAGACAATATTATTCATAGACTATACAATTCAATGGCAGATTTCTTTCATGATGTTCTTTGATTTTCTAAAGGAAGGAATGAATTTATACACTTTCCATAGTACTGTTAACTCTAAAATGTTGTAAGATTTAAAAATGAAAATGATAGATGATTAAATATTTGTCAGTGCTTTCAGCCTCATCTTCCCCTTCAGATCACATTATCCTATAGCAGCAACTGTCCTCAAATGATAGATAACAGTATGTTATATATCAAAGCAAAACACCAACAGGCCAGGTGGCTTGTTGTTATGGTTATTTGATGATATTAAAACTCAAGAAGCAAAAGACTTAAATGGGAGGATTCCTTTTGTGGAAAGCCTTGGTTCTCTTTGAATTCATTTCCAGCATCATGCAATTCAGGAAGATGTAATTTTATGCAGCCTTTAAAGTCTACCAAGTATCATGCAATGTATTCTGATAGTCAATAATGCTCTCTGATTTTATGTACTTTACCTTGTACTATATTAAGCCACACACACAAAAAAGGAAGAATTTCAGACTTTGATTTGAGAGCATTTTTATACATGACTGGTTTTACTGTCACAATCCATACACTTTAACTGATAGGGGATTTCATGTGACATCAGAAATCAACCAACCATACAATTGATGATGTCATGATGTCATTTGCACTCTAAAGGGCTACTGGTTAAAGATTTAAATTTTCATCTGGTTAAATTCTGTCTTGCTTCAAGAATATTTCTATCATTTTTGCTCTTTTCCTTGGCCCCCAGATTACATGAACCATAATTAAATAAGTTATCACTTGTTTCTTTAAATTGAAAATTATCAAATTGAATGTCCTAGCAAAGATAACTTAAACATAGGGGAAAATGTATCAAGAATACTACCAATGACGTTTTGATAATGTTTCCCTTCAATTTTACTCAAATTTTGTTGCTTTACATATTCATAAAGCCTTTTATCCTCTAAGTGTTATGTTTTATTCTCAGTTATTATGGTAACATATCACCCTTAAGACAATCCTACTCATGAAATAACTCATATACTGAAATCAGGTAGGTAATGACAATATTCCTGATTTATTTCACATAATATGATTTTTTTCAAATCACAGATGTTGCTAAAAGAGAAAAATGTTCTTTAAAATTCTTTATCATAAATCTTTTTTTTTCTGCAAATCCTTTTTTTTCCTCACAAAGGCAACGTGAATAGAGGTAAAAGAAGACAAAACTTGACCTTTTGTGATCCCAGCATTAATGGGTCTGTTCATAATTCAATCTATGTGTGTGTGGGAGCATCCATGTGGAAACATAGAAGCCTGAGAGACATAAAGCCTTTCCCTTTAAACATTATCTGACCCTATCAGTCCCATTCACAAAAGAAGGCTTACGTATGCATATGCTGAAAAAATGCACCATCTCATTGTGCAACAGAAAGCCTACTCATTCTCCATGGAAATGCAGCGCGGAAGTGACACTTGTACAGAATTTGGGAGAGTGACAAATGAGCAGAAGGTAGAAAAAAATGAATATTCTGGTGAGGAAAGAAGCCAAACTTCTGACAGAATGCAAATGTGCACATGTTTATAGACATACACATAGGTTTTTACCTAACACATAGGGAAGTTTGACCATATTTATATGACACGTGCATGCAACTCTTGAATTCAATTAAATTTTCAAGATGATTTATAGTCAACACAAAATATTGTTCAGCTTATAATCATTCTAAAGAGTATACTTAATGAGGTTTGTGCATGTCTGAGCCATACATTGTGAATCCTGTATATTGGCTATTATTAATGATGCTTTGAGGATCTTCTAGCTTTTTCAGTGATGGGTTCAGCTGTCAGCCTGAATTCTCTGTGGTTTTGAATCCACCCATATTATTAAAGAGAATTCCAGAGCACTTTGCACAGAACTGTCACTTGAAATCATCACAAAGGGTGGCAGCCTCTATGCTAGGAACATCATCGTGGCATATAACATACAGCATGATCTCAAAGTCAGATCAGCACTTGAATTTAAGACCAAGAAACTTTTTAATTAACAACATATTTAAGATGAGTCAAAGGGAGTAGGCAGAGAAATTAAAATGGTATTTTAAAGCTTCCTAAATCTCTTCTTTGTCTCAGGCCCAAGAACACAGTTTTTTAATTTTTTATTTTTTGGGGGTTGGGGTGGGGTGTTTGTTTGTTTTGTTTTGTTTTGATTTTAGGTTAAAAAGTAAACTTAATCCAGAATTGATAAACAAAGACTGAGAGCCTGTGAGCAAAGTTAAGTATCTCTTCATTTGGAAGCTGCGGTGCAGCATAACTATCAGGGATCCCAAAGTGTGTGGCACCTCTTATTCCTAGCACTTTAACTACTGCCAACTTTTAATAGTTTCCTTGAAGCTTTCCAACACAGATTTAACCTGTTTGCAGGCAGAGGTCCTTTACGTGCTGTCTTTAGGCCTACTCAACAACCCCATTCTCATTCCCCTCACACATGAAGGGAGTGACTATTAAAAATAGAGACATTTTAAGTGTCTTCATAACTTACCTAGCAATACGGATATGGTGAGGGCAACAAGGACAATGTCAACTGCACCTTTTGACATGTGACTGTGCGTTACTGACCTCTAACTACATGTGTACAATAGACCAAGAGTCCCAACTACTCTGCTTGGAGATCCATCACCAGGTTGGCACCAATGGGAATACTAAGTCAGATGCGTCCTTGAGAGTTACAGAATTCCTCTAATGGCCAACTTTGGCTCAAGGCTATACCAACAGCTTTGCCAAACCTTTCTTGACTACACAATGGTCTAGGATGCTTCCACCCAATCTTACTTGGGGTTAGGTCTGCATTTTTGTCTCACAGATCTCTCAACCTTATCATGCACTCTCATAGGCATTTCTTCTAATAAAATCCTCAGACATTTAATTCCACCTTGGTTTCTTCTTTTCAGAGAATTTAAAATAGCACAATTTTAAAAGGGCAATAATATATTACATACAAATTTCCAAAAACATGTACATCTCAAAGTGGCTGTATGATGTATACATTATTACTCCCAGTTTTATGTGGAAAATTTTATGAAATAAAACAAAATTTTAAGATAAAATTATAGGCAGCAGAAAAGGAACTAAATCTATATGTATATGATGTTTAATTTGGTTTGAGATATGTGCAGAATATTATATTTATGTAAAAACATAATTTTTCCTCAAATTTCTCATTTTTCTTTCCATCAGGATTTGACTTTTTTTGTATGTGAATTAGAGCTAAAACTTGATGTCACAGACTTTTTCTAAACCAAAACACTAGAACTTATGCATCCAAATCAATATAGATGTTTTCCGAGTAATCTCTTAGAAATTATTCTCATAGCCTCTTTGGGGGCATTGCCATTTTTAAAAATAAACTATTTTCATAGATTGCCAAATATATTTAGAGATTATTATACATACACGCACATGCACACACACTCCTTTTGTAATTTAATTTTTGAAGAAAAAAAAGAAATTTTGAGCCACATAAAGAACTGTACAGAAAGAACTCAGAAGAGTTAAATAAACAAACAGATAATGATGATAAAGAAGAAATACCAAAGAAGTATAGATATTATTATATTTGGAGGATGAGACAATTTTTATTTCTAATGTTGATAACAAGGTGGCATTAAAAATTATATATTTAACATAATTATCATTTTCCTGACCCACTAAACTTTTTAATTTCGATGAAATTGTGATTTTGCATAAATATCAAAGAGCAAAATAATTATAAAGTTTTAAAGGAGAAAAATATTTAATCTGTTATTCTTTTTGATAATTTTCTATTTAATCTCTAATACTAACTGGTTTTGTTAAAGATAATTTTAATTATACTGATGAATCTAGAAAGACATTTGCACTTCTCAAAATTTATGATACACAGCATAATTATTTGAAACTTACTATAAAATGGAGTAAAACTCTAGCTCTGGTAACATCTTTTTCAAACACATAGAGCATGATATTTTTAAAATTTGTAACTAGCAACTTAGTCTTATAACTTGTTAATATTTGGTAGAATGAGACAGAACCATAACTTAAATCTATGTAACTATTATTTATTAGATTTTAGAAAAGATTCAAGTTTAATTTTTCATATGAAATATTCTCTACTGACAATGCCAATCAATGATTACACTATCATATTTAATACCAGACATATATGTCCCAAATATTAATATAGTTTTGTGTAAAGATTGAATTTACACAGAACAATTTGGTGCGTTGTATGTGTTCATTTGTTATGAAATATACAGTTAATGAAGAAGATGCAATCACATTGATGACAAACTATTAAAATCCTAAAGCTTGGATAGACTTATTTGCCCAAATGTCAAAATAAAATTGCATGAGAAGCTTATTTTGTAATTTTCACATTATCATGTTCCTTAAGTTGCTTAATGAGTTTATTTACTGACATTAGTATGTGGAAATTAGGAAATTTGTGTTTATTCCTCAGAAAGATTAAATGCTTTTTCATTCTAGAAAACTACTTGAAGACAATTTTCCCCTTTTGTCTAATACTTATTTTGTATTATTCTTTCATTTACGGAATATGCTGTCAATGTCACAGCATGAGCTTTGGAGAGAAGAAGGTTTGATTTAATAGTTCTTCATTACAATACTGCCTACAGAATCTTATGATTAGCTTCCTTACCATTGACATTGCAAACTACAGTTTTCCCTTGGTAAAGATAACTTTGTTAGCATACCTAAAATTCAGAAAAATAATTCTATTTTTAGATGACAAAAACCCCCACAGATTTAGATTTATTAAAATTCAAAAACAATTTATGTTTTCCCTGTGTTGGCATGTTTTACAATTTTCAGTTTCAAGTTACATGTAATAATTTACTAATCAAGGAAATTTATGAGAAAATAGTCATAAGACATTTTTCAGAAAATCCTAATTTGATTCATTGTTTCAAGCACATAATTATTTTTCAGACTGTCCATACCAGTAAAATAAATTTAAGGATTTTTTTCTATCATATGTTACTGTCAATTAACAATAATTGATTAAAACTCAAAGTAAAATTTATCTTAATTTTAAAATTAAATTATTGTTGTTTAAATATAGTTACAAAATAACTCCCTTACTTCTTCTTCTGCTTTTTGGTGCTCCTTTGCTGTCATTGAAAGGATAACTTTTTCTGTAATTTTCTCCTTCTTGTCATTGAAGGCCAGGTTCAACTAAAAGAAATTAATAAATGACATGAAAACAAGCACTTTTTACTGACTCCTAATAGCAATATTTTATTCAAACACCTAATTTAGCATAATCTTGAAGGCAATTTATATTAATTTTGCCTGTACATATATGAAAATGAACTTGCTTAGATTGAATAGGAAGTTCATTTTTATACTTAAAACATGTGGCAAACTGAATTTTCACTTCTTTTTTATTGTTTGTAAGATTACCAAACATGAATTTGGGAGGGTAAGTCACTAATTGCAGACATTTGACACTGATTGTTTTTTAAAGCATTTTAAAAATGAACTTTACTTTAAAAAATTTAGACTGATATTCTCTAGTAAAACCTTTCATTGAAAGTAGGGGAAAAGTTGGCTGCTATTACATCAGTTTAAGAAGCCAAAGACATAAAAGTGTCACTCTAGAATGTGACAAATTATGCTATTTCATAACAAAGTATCATGTATCTAAATACCCATTACCTCTAACCTACTCCATTTACACAGTCAGATAAAGGTCATCTAGTATTGCTCTATTTCTTTATAAATAATTCTTATGGAAATAAAATGTGATTTTCAACAAAATATAAAAGCTAAACTCAATAATATTTACTCAATAGACTGACATTAACAGAAAGAAAGAACAAAAACCTGATAGAGACCTCATGAATAGGAATATTAACAACTCTTAAGCAAAGGCCTTGAGAATTGGGCTAAAAATACCATGTTCTAAAGTTTTGTTAATGTTGATGTTATAAGTAAGATTTATCTATTATATATCTGGAAATCATGTTTGAATTAACATGAATCTTTAATTCATACCCAACCGGAAGAACTGTGCCTCCTTGTATTTGGGATAAAGTGGGAGATGTCGATTCAGCAATATGTCTTCCTTAATCTAGCTGTGCATAGAAGCTAGAAAAATAGTGTCAAACCTGTAAACATCCTACCAATGATATGTGATATAGCTCAGTATATCATCAGACATTCTGATTTGGTAAAAGGGTGGGGGTCCAGAAATCTTTAGATGATCTGATGATTACTGCAGGTAAGGAATTGACACATATTTCTGTAAAGGGTCAGTCATTCAATATTTCAGTCTATGGGGTATAGGAGGTGGCATACAGTCTCTGTCTAATTACTCAACTCTGCCATTGTAGTATGAAACAGACAATGCATAAATGAATGAACATGGCTATGCTTCAGTAAAACTTAAACAACAAACAAACAAACAAAAGCAGGTGCCAGGTTAAATTTAGCCTGCAGGCAGGGTTGGCCAAACCCTGCCTTAGGTTGAGAACCACTATAGTTTTGTTTTGTTTTATATCACTATGTAAGACTGGTTTCAGGATGGTTTTCTCCAAGAAATATTTGTTCCTTTGATAAAGTGATACAAGAAACAAAATCTTAAATATGGTGCTCAATTCCACATGTGGAAACCTATGTGTGAACCCTGGTATAACATACTGGTCTCAAGTCTGATTATTTATCAGGGGAGTTTTCATCTCAGGAGGAGAAGGGTATAGAAGACAGCAATTGGAGAACATTCACTACCTTACCATGCTCAAAATTAATTTGCAAGAGCAAAAATTTCAGAGTAGATATTTTTAAAAAGAGAAAACAAAACAAAACAAAAACAGAGGCATGAAACTCTTTGTTTCCACAGCAGGTAAGTCAGATTCTAATGAGGTTTCCCAGGGTTATGACATTTAGAACTGCTTCCAAGTAACTATTTAAAAGGTAAAAATTCTTTACCTTTGAAAGCACCACAGTTGGAAAAAGTCATCTCCACTCTAACATCCAAATTCCAAAGAAACACTACACTTGTCTACAGAAGTAGAGGGAAAAGCATGGTATGCATAGAGTCCTATAGGAAAGGCATGCAGTAAGAGTAAGAAATCATCAACAAAAATAAAGATAAATATATGGGGCCTCTTCTGGAAATAGACAAACCACTCCAAGAGAAATATTTTAATGTGATCATTTAAAGGAAATTATTGAGAGCAAAAGTCAAATGAAGAGTGCATTTTCACCGGAGGTATTAATAATATGCAGTGCTAATAGCATCTTTTCCTCAAAATTCATGACATGATAACAATGGTAGGATTCTTCTCTCCTGTCATTTTTGATGATAATGTCCTGTTTTCTCATTAAGACAAAACTAGTTGCCTTTGATTTGCTGTCCTTATCTCAAATATATGAAATGAAATTTTGTTGATGAAGTTGAGATTTTTAAGGTTGATTTTTCATGTGTTGAAGAGGACAAAATGTTCAAAAACTAAAAAGCAAAAGCAAACAGAAAGATAGCTATAGTTTGTATACAACTGTGAAAAAGCAAATGCCCATAAAGTTGAGGGAGGAGAAACCTACTTTGTCCTAAATGTATCTTGCCCCTTTTAAATATGAGCAAATGATCCCAAATATTCATTGTTCACATCAAAATCTAAGAAGCTAAATGGCAAGGTTTAATTCACCATTTTTCCAGGCCTTGCTGGTAAGATTTTAAAACCTGTAACAAACATTAGCCATTTACAATTAAGTTAAAGTTGGGCCCATTCAGTATTAATGGGAACCAAAACAGATAGAACAAGAAATAGACTAGTCAAGAATGATAGCAGAAAGGGAAGAAATAAAAAACATAATGAATTTGTCAAAGAAAACTGAACAAAAATGCTTCTGGGAAATAGTATGTTTAGATAAACAGAAGATAAAATGATTAAATTCACCTCAAACAGTTTAAGAATCAAGAAAATACCTCTACAAAAGTGTTATCAACAGATTCTAATGAAATGACTTGCATTGGTTATGACCTTTAAGACTATATCTATTTTATTTAAAACTATTAACACTATGATTTCAGACATTGTTCCTTCTCTAAAATATGAAAAGATCAAAGTTGAATATTATACAAATATATATAAAACATGTGATCCCTTGTGATGTAATTGAAAGTAATCTTAATCTTGAGGAATTCTTGAACATTTATTGACTCAGGAAGCTTTCCCATGGATACCCTAAAGAGGAAAACACGTTAAAATCCTCCTGTTGGAGAAGTACAATTAAAATTGCAGTGAACTTGTGTTATGTGCACCATTAACAGCTAATGACTTTCCTTTTTACCTCCCTCCAAAGTATTTTGAAGTTTGTGTACAGAAATCATACAGATTGTATAATAATTTGTATATAATCATCAGATAAAATATATTTTACAGAAAATAACTCAAACTATTGACTCTAGAGTATACTTATTAATATCTTTAGAAAAAGTACAATAATTTAAACTAGGGGGTATGTTCTGTCCATATAATGCATATCAACATTTCACATAGGTACTAGCAGAAGGAGAAAAGCCTATTAGCCCAACCAAATGCCTGTGGCTCTGAATTGTGGTTCTCTGAGTCATTTTTTCCTGTGGTCAGAACAATTACTGATTCAATTGTGAAGTACATGTTATGGCTAATGCCCTTGATAAATCAACATGATCTGACAAGAAAAATGAATCTACATATAAGAAATCTAAGCTTTTCACCAGTAACTATTGATCTATTAGTAAAATATTTGATCCATATTTTACATACAGATCAATACAGGCAATACAGTTTAGCATAAGCAATGGGATAATCAGCCTTCATACATATTGACAAGTTTCCCAATGGCCTGTTAATGTACAAAAGACTGGGACAAATTACTTATTTATATATACAAAACATGGTTATAAAGGCCAGCTGCAGGTATTTTTTTGGAAAGTGCATTTTAATAAGGTCCTATTCAGTTACAGAACAAATGGGGAAGAAGTAGTTTGCACTACAGAGTTTAGCGCAAGAGCTTTCTCTTTTTCTAACCACGAAATCAATCATTTGTCCAGACTGTGGGAGTCAGAGTTAGTTACTGAAAAGAGCTCCGTATATAAACAAGTCAATAACTCATTGTGTGTTATTGTCCAGCTGAAGAAGTCGGCTTTCAAAAAGCTGCCCCTGCTTCTCTCAGAATGAATGTCACTGTATTCAGAGACTAGGAGAGTCTTTTGTTTCTCACCATTGCTGGCTGCCATTTATGTATGGGAACGGGAGGTAGCTGCTGGGAGAGCAGGGGAAGCTACTATTTCCTATCATAGATATCCAAGAAAACCCCTGAATTTCATCAGCTTAAATATTTGTATCTGGAAATGCATATTGAAATTGATAAGGAGTGGCCACACACACAAAAAAAATTGGCAAATTATTAAATGATAGAGACTCTACCCTTTTAAATTGGACAAGGCTGAAATTTTTGGCTCCCTACCTGTCAAAATTCACACTATGAATTGAAAAGTTTGAATATATAAAATCTAACTAATGAACAGGTCAACATGCCAAATAAATACTATCTGTTTTTGCCATAAACAGGTTGATTCTTGAGACCCTTTATGGGTTTTCAAAAGGTGAGTGTGTGAGCCCATATATTTATACACTTCTTTTACTTATGTTTATTAAAAATAAATATGAATCCATAAAGAAAGTATTATATTTTGGAAAGGTTAATAGAACTTCTTTAAGGAAAGATTTCATGTACCCAATATTTGTGGTAAGCTAAGAAAATTCCAACTATCTCTGACTTAAAAGTTAATTAAAATATTCTTTATAATTCAAAGTGTTCCTAAATTCATAAGACAAACATTATCATAATTTCATTTATTTTATCCTACTATTTGATAAGTAGTTTCCATTTATTCAGGATCAGACCAAGAAATGTGAAGAAGCACAGAGCAGGTTTTAAGGTTCACAATTAGGTTAAGCAAATAATAAACATAAGTGAATCTGTTTATTAAATGAAATCTGAAATCTGCAAGTGAAATCTAAATTCTCAATTAGATAAAGTTGTAGCAGTAGGCAAAGAGGACATTAAGAACTTTAGCTACATTCAATTGATCCCAGTTCCCCTCACTGTTTAGAAAAATCACAGCATTAAGTAATATGACATGCTTTCACAAGCAACAAGCTATACTAGATATCATCCTAGATACAAATAGGTCAATAGCAAATTACCATAAGGTTGAGAAGATTATTTTTTTAAAAAACTAATAAAAAATGAGAAACACTATTTGGCATGAGGTAAGTCATAATTGCTAAATGGATGTATAATAATACAGTCTACAAGTATTAATGCCAAAAATATTAAGGGTTGTAGTGATTGGAGATGAAGAGGTATAAATGCTAAGTAGTATCTGGGTAGGAAAAGAAGAAAGAAGTGGTAATAAAAAGTTTTTTATTGCTATTTTTTAGTATAAATATTACGATTAATTACATGATTAATTTAGTTCTAAGTAGAATTAGTGAAGTGGCTTTACATGGCATTGAGATGGGGAGGAGAAAAGAC